TAAAGCCAATCGATTATGGATTACACCAAAAGCTGGCACACCTTTCCAAGCATCTAAAGCCAATCGATTATGGATTATGTCTTTTATCAAGTTGTCTAGTGCTGGATCCTTATCCATTTCCGCATTACTCCATTGAGGGTACATGTTTTCTTCAGTTACAGGAATCATGTGTCTTACACGCACCTATATACAACATACAAAATATTAAATAAAACAGCACCACCATTGAAATAAAACAAAACTGTGTACCATGACCCTAAAAAAAAAAAATAAGACTGCACCTTAAGTTTGCGTAAAATAGTCATAACTTTTCAATGAAATCAAATCCTAAATTGGGCACATAAAGACACAACAAATAGATACAACATTTAAAATGTCAAAAACTAACCTGCCCATGCAAAGTCTTCTCGTTTTGAATGAATTCTGTTAGGTCGATATCCTTCCGAGTTGACTGCCAATCAAGAAGTGGAATACCATTCAAGATAGGCCTTCTCAACCAATAACCCTCTCCTAATCTAGGGAAACTCTCATACACCCACGTAAGCAAAGCGTGAACGCATCTTTTAATAACATAACCCTCTTTGTTAAAGTCAACTATCTTAACCGATTTAAGTAGACATTCAAAAGCCACTCGTCCTCGCGGATATTTCTCAAAACTCACTGGATCAAGAACTCTTATAGCACTAGACAAAGGAATTCTAGATCTGTGGTGCACTCCATGTATTGCCACTGATAATAAACACAACCTACCCACCATCATCCTCTCCTTAAAGTCCCATGCCTTGCTATGATCCATCACAATTCGCAACTCATTGAACTTTGGACCTTCTGAGATTGATACTTTCATTGCCTTCCATAGCTCACGGTGATCAGCTTCAAATTTTTCCGACGGGTCAAATGGATCACAATTCAGTCCTGTTATAGCAGCAAACTCGTTTAAAGAGAACCGGACTGGTCTACCATCAATCATAGATCATATCTCATGAAAGTTATCCATTTTCACTGATTTGTGAGGAATAAATGTACTTTCTTGGCAGCCCATGTGTACTCTAGTTTAGCTAGCTTAATAAACACACCTAGTGATGATTTCTCCAATTCATCCCACACATCAAGACCTAATCCTTCTCTGATTTGACCAATCTTGGACAGATAACAATTGTGGTTCATGCTTCTATGTTGCAAAGGTGATTTCCCTTCTGCATAAAGACGAGGAGGATATTTGAAGACATTACTCGAAGACGCCATTCCTGGACAGTAACAAAATAATAAGTCAGCGTATAAGAGGATTAATACAATGAGCTAATAAACAATTCAAAACAAATATGATGCAAAATGAATTAATACCAAAAGAGAATAAAGTGTTAAAACCTGTTTCAGATTCGGGATCCTATTTATCAACTCAGCCCTTATTCATTCAATTCCTACAAGAAAAAAAAATCAAAACTTGAGGAAACCGCTTGATTATAATATTAGACTAAAAAATACTAATAGTACACAACACAGCTATGTACCGTGAGCTTTGAATCAACAGGACTGATATTATCTTTCTTCTGCAGCAAAAGAAACAAAAAACAAAAATCAGTTAACCACTTAAAAACAATCTCAATTCCATACTGAAGAAATACAAATTATAAATGTTTACAAAACAAAAAGCATAAGCCTGACATTGTGACAAATCATACTCTAAGATTAATGAAAAATGTTGTTATCTACGTCGATAATAAAAAAAAAAAACAATTGCAAAGACCAAACCCACAAAACCATCAATCAAAATCACCAGACATATCAATTCTTTCACCACCTATGGGAGAATCATTCCAACAAAATCTGAGTCTAAAATCTAATGAGATACACTATTATAGCCCAAGATCCAACAAATGTAAGAAACATTGCAAATAAATCAACTCAACATACAATGAAATCTGAAACTATTAGAAACTTATGAATTGATCCACAAATCTGTCACTTACTCTCTAAAATGGAACAAAATTGTGGGAACTACAATAAAAGGTCACAACTTTAAGACTATAGATTCATGCCCCTATGAATTTTAATCAAATCAGTGATTCAAGTTAATAATCATATCAAGAGAGTAACTAATCTTATACAAATGACATTAGTTTCCCTAATTATAATCCTCCAATACATATTTGGGAACAAACAGCAATCAACAGACAAGAAGTGACTTTAGTTACTGTACCCAATTTCAGTTTGCAGCGTTGCAAGTTGCGTCGCCACCGGTGAGGAAAAATGGTTCGATCCTGAGATTGATTTCCCTTGTTGCTTGAACTTGAACCTACAAGAGAGATGCCACGAAGAAATAAGAAACTGAAATATTAAACTAACCAATTGCAATTGCAATTCAATCAAAATATGAAAAAGTTAGGGTTTTGGAGAATCAATCAAAAATGCAATTCACAGTAAAATTTTGAACATTGAAAGATTATACTAACCAATTGTCAATCGATGGAGGAATCACGGTAACAGTGATGGATAGTAGCTCTGATTACACCGACAAATCGATTGAACAGATGATTAGAGAAAGAGGCCTCGCAAAGCAGACACACAAAAAGTAGCGGCGGTGGCAAATGAAGATTAGGGTTTAAGAGAAACGCCGGAGATGACGGGAAGACATGGAAGTAGCCGAAGACGCCGGAGAATCAGAAAAATTGGCGGCAGGTTCTCCTCGAATCCGCAGTGGAGGTACTTATGTTGCGGCGACGTCTGTGAGAGTGGCGGTGAAGGAATACGTGAAGTGTAGATTCTTCTCTTCGTCGGAGACAGCGAAGACAATTGGAGTCAGATTCTTCTCTTCGTCGGAGTCGGCGAAGACAAGTAGCGGCGGATACTTTTCTTCGTCGGAATCGGCGAAAACAAAGTTAGGGATTGTGTTTGTTGGGTGAAACAGAGAAAAAAGAAGCTTAAGTCTATAATTAAAAAAAATTAGGGTTAATATGTTTTTGTGTTTTTTTTTGTTTTTTTGTTTTGAGTTTTTTTTTTTCTTTTGAAGACTAAACAAATTCAAATGGATTTTTGGTCATCTTACACAAAATTTGTGTTATTCTAGTAAACTAGAAAATTAGAGTGTTAATCTAGTTATTAATCTCCAGATTTGTGTCAGTCTGGGTAATTTTCACTATATGATTTTGTAATTCATACCCTTTGGTAAGTTCGGATATGAAATTGGATTTTTTTGGGAAAATTGAGTATACATTAGCCAATGTTCAAGAAAGCTCTAGGCGCTAAGCGGGCGGTAATCCAGCGCCTAGCTCCTAGAACGCCTAATCGACGACTAGGAGATTTTAGGCGGTTTAGGCATTTACAATATAAAAAATTATAAATAAGATATTATAGCTAAAAATCATATAAAACTATATATTAAAAAATAAAATATTAAATCGTAAATAAAAATTAGACACACGCATTTCTTTAATTCATATCAAACAACATATGAATATTTATAACCATGTATATGAGGGTAAAACTTATAAATTTAAATTTATGTAGTTAGAAATTTGAAAAATACACTAAAACGAGATTTATGCTATTTTAGGCGGTCGAGACGGTCAATTAGGCGTCACTTGAACGCCTAGCGCCTAGTCAGAGCCTTGGCGACCGCCTAAACCGATTTTTAGAACGCACAAAAAAAACTTGTAGACATCAATGGAACACTTACGTTTTGGTTGGGTATAAAATTGCCAACTTTCTTCTACATGAATTATTCAATGATGAACCACCAAGTAATAGCAAATAGATATTTAACAATGCGTCTTAAATATCTAGTTTGATTCTTATCTTAAAGATTTAAAGTTAAGAACTTTAAGGTCATCTATGTTTTTTGGATAAACCACAATCATTTAAATTTTGTGTTTTTACGTCTCTTTATCACTTGTATTTTTTAAAGCTAGTATGTTCTCATCTGTTTGCAACAATTGAATCTATTTTTAGGTTATTGATCTATATTACATCAGAAGTTTAGGTTATTTATGGAAGAAAAACCAAGGCGTATGAGTATAAATACATGTACATACAATTTATTTTTGCTAATGGGAGCTGTTAAATATAATTTTCTAATAAATCTGAATGTTTTGTTTGATTTACATATACAATTATTTTTTATGTGCATGAATTAAAAAAGTGTATCCTAAGCGCTTTTTCAAAGATGGTAATAAGCCTCAACTGATGCAAATTAACAATATATTCAGAATGTCTATCTTCACAAGAATCAAGGATGCTTTGCCAATTGAGTAAGAGAAAGTGAAGAGTGATCCTCTCTTTGCACATGTCTTTGCCATACATGAAAATGGTGTACGCTATTCTGGTCGTATTCTGGTCGTATGATACACAACATAATGTGTAGATATTTGATAACCAAGAAGAAATATGAACTCTCGTTTTTGTTTGGGAGGAAGTCTTTCTGGTTTTCATTGCAAGAGTTTTATGCAATGACTAGCCTTAAGTACAAGGAAGATTTTAGCAATGATTTAGATAGTTGGAAAGATGATAAAGGATTTTGGAGGAAATTGCTCAAGAGAAAGAAGAAGATTTGCATTAAGAAGCTGATGAATGTTCATCTTTTGGAAGCTCATGAGTGGGATGATGTAGACATAATTAGATTTGTATATGTGTGTGTACTAGCTGGTTTGGTGATGGCTAAAGATGAGAAGAAAGTTATCCCTCTATCATACCTCAAGTTGGTGATTGATTATATTTTGATTGGTTGACGGCTTATCCCTGGGGTTTAGATGCTTTCGACTATCTTGAGTGTATTGATTTTCATGATAGAAAACCTGAAAGTGTATAGCGCTTTTCAACAAACCATCATGAATCCATTATAGAAAGCAAATTAACATGGAAGGTCAGAGTTATTCAGAGGTTTCTACAAATAATGATTGAGAGAAGGATATCTAACATACACGTATAGAAGGAAATGTAGGATCTAAAATGGTGAAAGCCATAGATAGAACTTTGGTGTTGTCCACGCCCATCGTAACAGAACCAGTGGCAAAGTGAGCGATGTTCCCGGTCTCGATTCGTAGAACACTGGATCTCACTTCGAATTCCTCCGTAAAAAAAAGTCTTCAATGATAGGTGTGGTGGAATTCTTGAAATAAGATCGTTTGAGAAGAAGAGTTTGGCAACCAAGAACTCTTCTGATCTTTGATGCAATTAAGATCCACATTGCTGCAATAGTATATTGTTAGAAGAATCGTTGAATCGAGAAAAGTTTGTACAAAGAAATAAAAACAAACTCATTTTCTTCATTCTTAATGAAAGCCATTACAGAGAATCCTCTTATATATATATATATATGCATCTGGTTTACAGTGAAAAATAAACGAATGTGAAATACAAGGTTATGACTTAGAATTCAAAGATTGATTCAAGAAACCCAAGTAACTAACAATTAGAAAAACTTAGAGAGGTATGCAAGCTCCATGGTTGATGAAATCAAACTATGCAAGCACCATGGTTAATGAAATCAAAGAATCAATTTCTAGGAAAAACGAAATGAAAAGAAACAACAACTTTCAAAACCATAGAAAAAACTAGATAGATAAACTAACAAAGTAAAATCATAAAAAAAAAAAATAGCTAAGAACTTTCACCTGAGAGAGTTGGTGTTGTGGATGTAGGATTCACACTCGATTGTCTTTAAGTATTTCAGTGGAGAAAAACTCTTGTAAAATCAGGAAATGAATATGAGAATTTGAAAAGGAAGTCAACCAAGAAAAGAAGTAAAGAAATTTGACGAGAACGAAGTACAAAATGCCTTGCAAAAGTAGTAAAAAGAGAAAAATATATTGTATTGCTTAGAAGTAATGAATAATGAGATCTGTCCCCCAAACACATGCGTCTGAGGTTGTTTTTATAGAGAAAACATGATCAATGCGGTCATTTAATGCTCATAATCGCATTGATCCACATTAATCATATAAGTTACAACTTGACCGAAACGGCTTGAATTCGAACTATCTTGGGCTTCGCGTGGATCTTTCGAACTCTTTCTTGTTGACTCCGAACTCCTGCGTCTTGACGCTACCGCGAGCCTCGAACAAAATTCTCCTCGCTTCGGCCTTTCTCTATGCGAACCGTATGTTGAATAAGAGCGAACTCCATACTGGTAAAGATCGAACTCTTTTAGTAGACTGAATCGAACTCCCGACTGGTTAAGCTCGATTCTCATAATAAAATATTTTTAACTCCAAGAGGATTATTATGTAATAATGACGTGGACAGATCCAAGTAGATCCTACCGAAAATGTGTGGGATCCGACCCCAACATTTAGCCCCCCAAGTCTTGCGAGCTGAGTGCTCGGCTTGGAAGACTTAAGTAAACAGTAATTAATGACTCGAGATCTTTAACATTCCATAATTATTCCATGTTTTACGCTATTACGCCGATCTCGGATAATCAAATGAATTGATATCCCTGACAACCGTCATCATTAATTTTCTAATTTTATATTAATACTGCGGGGAAAACTGTCCCACTTACCAATATTTTCGAGGCGGTCTTCCGTTAAATAGGGTTAAATGGAACGACGGCTTTTACAGCGTACATTCACCCCTGAAAGCTTTTACCAAACCAGAGAAAGAAAAATTTCTTAGTAAAAAATGTCTTCCCCAGCCGTCTACGTCTCTGACAATGAAAATGACAGCCAAGGAATCCCTGTTCCCAAAGGGGACGAAGTTTTCACCCAAAGGGGAGATAAATTCGGTCCGCATTTCAGGTCTCAATCGACCTATGCTTCCCTTGGCGCTCTTCGTTGCCTTTGTAACATTCCTTAGGAAATAGAATTCTCTCTTCCTAGACCCAACGAGTCTCCGGAAATGGTGCGAGAGGGTTACTGTTGTGCGTACGAAGTCTATTTTAAAGGTTGTTGTTTGTTTTTTCCATTACCGGAAGTTCTCCTTTTGTACCTTCTCCATTTAGGGATTGCTTTTCCCCAAATGGCTCCCAACTTTCTTCGATACGTCCTGAGTACCCTGACTGTTTCGGCAGAAGCAGGGTTTTCCCTCTCCACTAGCGAACTCTTAGGGCTATTTCGAGCCCGTGAATCCGTAGCAGCGAGTATTTTTTCTTTGAATCCTATTCTTGACCGTAACCTGATTGACGGAATACCCTCGAATGATGGGCCTTTGAGGAAATACTGGTTCTTCTTACGAGTAAATCCCCATTCCGTCCAAGGTCTTTCCGGCCTTCTTCTCGCAAATTGGTCGTCTAAACTTGGTTAGAACCAACCCCTATTACTTTTCACCAAACTGTGTAAAACAAATAGAGTTCTTAACTCAACATTTTGTTTCAGGGAACCAGACGATCCCCCGCCCAACTGTTGACTTCTTATCTTTCTTTCGAATCGTTTTCGAGGGTGAAACAAATTGGAATTCCTTCACCCTTCAACGCATTCATAAGGCGGGGCTCGCCATCAAAGACTGTCAAACTCACCCCCTTGATCCTCCTCCCGAAGAGAAATACGTCTCGAGCCTGAATGCTCGAGATAAAAGAAAAATGCAAGCCGAAACCAAAGCTCTTAAGGATCAGTTATCCGAAATCGGGAAAAAGAAACAGATAGCTGTAATCTCCAGGGTTGGTAACTTCCACAGGAAGACCCTCTTGGTTGATGATGGTTCAGTAGAAGCGGCCTTGTCAATCGCGGTGGATACTCATGGAGCCGAGATTCTTAACGACCCTCCAGTC